CTTGAAAACTATTCGTTTTTCCTCGGACATCAATTTAACCCTCTCCGAGATTACGCGGAAGAAGGGCATAAAGAAAAACATTTATTGGAAAAATATGAATCAGCTTCGAGTTCCAGTGTAGAAACAACTATGCCGTCGCCTGAAAACCCGAGTGGGCGTAAAGATGGAACTGACAAAGGCAGGCAACATAAACTGAGGATGACATCGAGCATGTTTATCCTCAGTAGGGAAAACTGACTACGTGGACCCACATCCCGGTATTTACAGTTTCGAATGAGGGCCTGAACTTTGTAGGATCAGAAGGCGAAAACATTCAAAAGTCAATAAAATTTACTTTACTCGTGTTCAAGCAATACTTAGAATATAAGGCAGTCCTGGCAAATAAAACATGCATCTGGTTTGGGAACAAAGGAAAACAAGTGAGTTTCAGGAAACCGTTTAGAAGTTGAAGATGCGCTAACTTGAACACTATTTCGTTATCCCTTTCTACATCGGCATCCTCCCTAGCACTTTCAAGAAGTTGCCAATGACGCTGTAACCGGTACTCTAGAATGCACGCTGGAGACGCTCAGCCACTCCATTTGAGTAATTTGCACGTGTATCAAATGCCTCACTACTTAAATTATGTCTTGTTTGATAGCACTTGTAGATATTTTTTCTTAGTACTTTACGTTTTTCAATGTATACACATTTGATGTGGTGCTTAGAAACTTTCTACAGCAATTTAATATTCAGAAATCAACTCAGAGTGTCTTAATGTACCTTATGGGAGTCAACCTCAGTCTTCGTACACTATAATAGGAATAAATAGCTTAGTTACGCTCTGTTTGGTGACTTTGCCAGTAAAAGCCGGAGAATATCCGAGTAAGAAGCCGCGGCTAAGCTAAGGCAAAACCTAGGTAAGTAAACAGAAAATTCAAGTGATATTTATCACATTTGCTTTTACTAGGCTTAAATTAAGGCGGATAAAATAACATAGAATCGGAGACTTTGTGCCTTGTGTGACTGTTACAGGAAATGTCATCCGCGCCCATAACTGGCGTAGCGTTCTTCACTTCTCTGAGTAAAGTGCCGCCAAACTATACCGTTGTAAGTACTATCACTGCGTTGTTTTCTAAAAAATGTCTGTGTCATTCAAAAGGAATTTTAAGTCCAATAATTATTTGACTTAAAATTTTGCAGCAGGAACAAAAAGTGCAAATTTCATAAATCGCTTT